GCCCCCACCCCGCCTCCCCCCAGGGTCCCCCAGTCTTTCTTACAACTGTACAAGGCTAAGCCTTCACCTTGTCTCTGGCCACAGCTCCTGACAGCCTTCCTGGGATGGCCAAAGTCCTGTCTTGAAGGAGGACCCTCACTCAGCCAGGGGGCTGCTCTGGTGGCCCTCATGACCAAAGGGAGCCCGAGGGGTCTCGTGTGAAACATACCTGCCCAGACCACCTATATCCCTCAAAAAAACCCCAAATGCCTGCCCACAGCTCAGAGGATCACGTGGCCAGGAGGCCCCAGACAGCGTCTCCAGTCCCACCTCACCCCCCTGTGCTCTTACCCTCGGCTCTGCCCTCGGTGCCCTCTTCCAGTCTCCGGGCCCTGGCCACACCTGTCCCCTTTCACGTACTGCTCTAGTGGCCCGCAATGTTCTCTCACCCCTTCCCTGCTAGCCTGTGACTCAGCTTGGCTATCACCTCAGGGAAGTGTCTCTGGCCTCCCTGACCTGGTCAGGTCTCCTTCTCATAGGCTCTTCAGGCCCAGGTTCCAGTGTGTGGGGCAGAAATGTGGGTGATTCCCTGGCTCCTGCCCATCCACACCGTGAACTAGAGATCTATGGGGCAGGGGCCAGGCCTCTTACCTCTTCTCTCACTATCATAACCTGGCTAAGGGAATGCCTGGCTCTCAATAAATATTTGGCGAATGAAGGGACAAACAAATGAGCAAATGAATATTAAGCACACGGGCCAGAACCCATGCCTCTTGAATCCTGGTCTGGCGTTTTTTGACTCAGTGGCAGTTTCCTCTCCCGTAAACTAAGAAGAGTAGCGGGAGTGGGTTGTGCTCCACCAGCGGTTCCCGACCCCGACTCCACGTCAGAATCTCCAGGCAGCTTTAAATCACACTCACATCTGAGCCTCACCACGGCCAGTTAAATCAGAGTTTCTGCAGGTGCAGCCAGGCGCGAGTATTTTGTTTAGCTTCCCAGCAGTACCGTTACGGCATCTAACAGACGCTGCAGAGCGACCACCTGCGCTGCGCCCCTCCCCAAGGCGGAGCGCCGTCCATCCACGAGGCCGGCGCTCTGTGCCCGTCCCAGGGGGCATGCTGATGTAAGGGCATGAAGGGAAAAGTCGGTGGGCACCCCCACCTCCATAAGGCCCAGGGCCAATTTCTCTGGCTGTCATCTTGAGGGAGTAGAAACCTACAGCCCCAATTTCCCTGCAACCAGCCACCTGCCGCTGCCTTTGAAGGCCCCTGCAGACCCTTCGCTGCCCGCGTCCAGGCCCCGCAGAGACAGCCTGCAGCGCTGGATGCTCTTCACATTTGGCAGATGTGAATGGGCTGGATAATAGCCGCTGGGAGGACAGCGGGAGGTGAACTGATTTACAGCCCTGACAATATCCATGAGGCCAAGAAGCTCCTGCTCACCACCTTTTAGCGTTTTTAAAGGACCACTGACTGCAATTCAGACTCTGGAAGGCAATGTTGTCTCTTACTGGGGAGAGCATACTCAGAGGGTGAGCCTTTTCTCAGTATTTTACGGAGATGATTAACTCCTTGCATGTCAGCGGCAAATCCCCGGGCCTCCCCCGCAGTGTGGTCCTCAGTTCTCCCACCACCATGGAGCCTGTCCTCTGCATTCCGACCTTCTAGGACTGTGGGGGTTGCTCGAGAGCTCCGTGCTCCCAGCGGCTGGCCTCCGAGATCGCTTCTCTGCTGAACTCTGCCACGTGTGTGAACTTCAAGCAACGAGTGCCATTGCCAAAGCAATTACTTTCCCACTCTCCAAAGCGCAGTTTACGCGAGAGAGTTCAAGAGCAGCACGTTTGTTAACCTGGCCCAACACAATGACCTATTTTTATGAGAGGAAATAAGGGCACAGCTGTATAAGAGAGTTTAATGCGATGAAATTGTAGGCAGGGAAACCGGGGCCAAGTTTCGAGGCTGGAGGGAGAGGGCGCAGTTTAGAAAGCCATGGTGTCTGGGACAATGGTCCACTGGAAAGGGAGCCTGCAACACTGCCTGACCAGCCATCAGCACCAAAGTATCAGCCTGGCTGGCTGTGCTTCTCCCGGAGAGGCGGGCCCCCCTTGGCCCCTCGCTAGAGTGTGGTCCGGCGCAAACCAGTGGCCGCAAGCCTCTCGACACTGACAGTTGGTTACTCACACCCTTTATCCACTTGCCAGCTTCTATTCATCCTTCAAACCCAGCTCTGGCACAGCCTTCTCGGGCAAGCCATCCCGAGCCCCGTTACCCCCAAATTAGACCCACCTGCTTCTCCAGCTTGTAACCCCTCTCTTTGGGGTATCATTCCTACTGTTTTGTAATGTTGGCCTCCTGCTCCCCCCAGTAAAGCTGGCAGGTAGATGAGTCTGTGTGTTATGAACCCTGAGCCCTACTGTGTGCCAGCCATGGGAGACAGCTGTCATTTCACCACGACGATAACCGGGAGGGGCAGGTGTTACCATCCCCACTTAGCCGGTGGGACGGCAGGAGTGAGGGTAAGTAATCGACCAGAGTGGCACAAGGCCCGGCATTCAGTTGGTGCTCAGTGAAAAGATATGTTGGGAGATGATCCGCCCACCAGTGTGGAAACATGGGATCTAGCCCACCCTCCAATCTGGGTCCACTTTGAGGTTCTGTGGATTGGTGGTGTTGCCTTAGACAAGTAGAGAGGAAACCTCAGTGCTGGGAGTTTGTCTCAATACCTGGCTTGGTTGGTTTATATCTTAGGGAGTCCTGCAAGAAGAAACCTGCCCTTAAAGTCCCCTACTCTTAACTGGACTTGACCAAGAAGAAGCAGAGACCCAGAAAGGTCAATGACTTGCCTAAAACCCACAGAGCAAAAGCTGGTATCACTACTTCCAGGGATGAGTTTTTATTCCACTTTTGCTATCACCTGCCTCCCCTTCCCTGCTCTGCAGTATTCTCCTGGGGCCAGAATCCTGAGGCACAGGGAGGTCCTGCCGTCACCTGGGTTTGGTACCTGTCACTGTGGTCTGGGGGACAAGGTGCTCCATGGCTGCCAGTCCACACTACTGGCCAATCTGTCCAGTTTTCTGGTCCATTGGATGTTGCCTCCCAAACAGTCCTTGAACCCATCCACTTGTCCCCATTATCACCCTAAACCAGGATACCATCTCTCGGCTGGGCAGCCCTAGCCTCTCACATAGGGTTGCTAGGTAAAATATGGGACACCCTGTTAAATTTTAGATAAACAACCACCAACTTTTTAGTATAAGTATGTCCCAGATATTGTATGGGATATACTTACTGTGCTAAAGAAAATTTGTGGTTTAATTGAAATTTAAATTTAACTGGATGGCCTGTATTTTTATTTGCTCAGTTTGGCAACCCTACCCCCACCAGCCTCTTTGACCCTTGCCTCGCCCCCCTCTCCGAGTCCATCTTTCCTGCTGAGATTTCTAACATGCCAATCTGAGATTGTCATCTCTTGCTTAAAACCTCTGACAGTCCCCATAGCCCCCAGGATCAAGTCCAAACTGCAAGATACGATGTTAGTGGCTCACGACAGGGGCCTCACCTTCTCTCCTCCGGCTGCGGGGACTGTTCCCTCCACCTGTATACTTTACTCACACTCGCCCCCTGACTCCTGACTTCTCCTTGTCCGTGTCACAGCTGAGCACTGCATCTGTCACTTCTGCCAGGTTCCGTCTCCAAACTATTCGCTCCTGTTGAGCTATCTTGCCTATAATTACGTGTTTAATTATCTCTCCAGTGCCAGACTGTCGATGCCATGCGGGCCGGCACCACTAGATCCCTTGCACTTAACACAGGGCCTGGCAAACAGTAGGTGCCCAATAAGTGCTGCTGGATACATAAGCAAAGTTGCAGTGACTGGCCATAGGGGGGAGGTCAGCACTGCTCGGGCCCGGGGGCAGCACCTTGTCAGCATAGAGACCCACAGGCTCCGATCCGAGCCGTCTCCCTGATGATGGCCGTAGGAGGACACCCACAAAGACGATGGCTTCTGGCATCTTTTATGGAGCCAGGCCAGCACCACAGTAACTTGATGAGACACACTCCTGTCACACCTAATAAATTTGCCAGCCTGTCATCCTCTTCGCTTGCAAAAAAAAAAAAAAAGGACTCATCTGGAAGTGAACTTAGAAGAACCCTAAATCACAAAAGTTCAAGATCTCAATTGCAGACACATTAAAAAGAAAGGGGGAGGCTCGCGGATGCCCCCTCACGAAGCTGGCGGCACTTTAAATGTCATCTGACTTCAGTGATTAAGTTTCTTATCATCTAGGCAGCAGCCAGAGGCTCCGGGCTGATTTCAAGGTAGGAACTTGCTGCTTTGGGGACCATGGGTCTCTCACTTCACCAATTATCCTGTTAATTAGAGGACTTGGTTGTGTCTCTCCTACCCAGCCAAATGCTTACATCTTCCGGGGACCCTTCTGGCAAAATACTCATGAAAGCACAGAAAGCTCTGAGTTCTTTCTCTATATTCGAGAAACTCCTATGATGTGACAGATTTTAATCCCTCCACTTCTAGGGAACTACACGGCTTCACGCACCTCCGTGTTTCCTCTTCTCCCTCTGTGCCCCTGGATTCAGCTCTTTTGCTTAAAAACTGGACCCATCTGTTCCAAGGCCCCTTTCCTTGGCTTCTCAGTCCTTATCATTTGTAGATTAATTTTTCCAGAGCCTCCAGCCGAGATTGTATCCATTCTACTTGTCTAGAGAATTCCTTTTCTAACTGATTTGCACAAAAATTGATTTGTATTGAGTAACAGCATCTGAAACACACACACACGTGTGAGTACTGCCTGGCTGAAGGACATTGTTAAAAAAGCCAGGCTGCTTTCCCAACACTATTTCTTTTGGTGGTGGTGGG